CGGGGGGGGGCGGGGCACTGCAGGTGACGCGCGGGGGGGTGGGAGCGGAACCCCCCCGCACAGTGGGGCAGGGGATCGAGCCGTCGGCAAGGGGCAGGCCCCCGCCGCGGGGGACCCCCGAGTGGGCGCGCCAGGGCTCACCTCCGCCACGCGTGGGGGCCGCCCGGCTCCGACCCGTCACGCCACCGCCACTGCAGATGATGGCGAAGAGGGAGGCGGAGGATTTGAAACCCGGCAGTTTTGTTTTCCGCTTTCTGATTGGCTCCCGGGGCTCCTCGTGGCGCAGGCGCGCCGCGCTCCACACCCTGTTCTCCCCCACCCCCCTGCGGCATGCTGGGAGTTGTCGTTTAGCCGGGGGGCGGACTACCAATCCCGTGAGGTAGCGCACGGGCTGCCCTGTCGCGAGGCAGGCTGGGAAGGGTAGTTCTAGCGCCCTAGAAGGGCTCGGCCTCTGGCTCGGAGAGTTAGGAGTGAACGCGCCGAGAATCCCGCCATGCCTTCCGCGCTGCTAACGCTTCTTGGCCGAATCTGGATCACGTGGTCTTGGTCTGGCTGCGTGCCACCGGGGGCGGTAGCTCGAGATTGCAGAGCCTTTCCTCCCGTTTGCCCCCTCGCGCAGGCGCAGTTGTGCTGCAGAGCTTCCAGCACTGTTGGATGCCTGAGGCGGGTTCGTGTGTGCGTGGGCCTATTGCAAGGGGGGAGGAAGCCCTTGTTCCCCTATAATGAGTTATGCTAAGGGTGGGTGACCCTTTGCCAGGCCTTGGGCGAGCAAGGGCCCAGGTGCAAATTTAGGGGTGTAACAGCAACGTTGTAAACCCAACGGGAGCTCCCCTAGCGTTGTACATTAAAGCGAACCCCTTAAACATTAACCAAAACCGAAGCAGTTCCCATCTGCATCCAATTAAGGATCCTCCAAAAGCTTATGCCTCTTGGAACGAGTTAGTCTCCAAGAGGCACCCTAGTCACCGGCAAACAAACTCAAGGGAGCTGCCACCATTCATCCTCCCCCAGGAGCTCTACCACATATACCAGCCAGCCTAGCAATAAGAAGATGCACCCTGGAGGCCCTGCTGTAGATTTTGGGCTGCAGGACAGGCAATGTGATATGTCATCATTACACACAACGCAATGCACGTTTCTCCTTAACTGGAGAAAATAGAAGTTTGACTACTATGCTGGGGGGGAGGGAGACAGCACTGTATTTTTCAATTTAAGCTCAGAAACAACTACAGCTATTGGAATGTGCACTAATTTGCTAGAGTTTATATCAAGTTTTTAAAAACACAAGAAACTAGGCAAGTAGGAGTCCAAAGATGCTGTCGTTAGTCTTGCAGCCATCACAGTTGAATCTGCACAAGCAGTGTGGATTTATAAATTAAAACTAGCTTCTGTGAGTGGCTTGCAAGTGTCTTCACTATCAGTTATTTCCACACCTGAGTTAATATTACCATACCTGAGTTAAGGTTCTTACCTAGATTTTGGGTGCAACAAGAATCAAAGAGGGTACAACTGTACCTGCCCTGGATCTGCCCCTTGCTGCTAGGGCTTGCAAATCTGCTTTATGAGGCTCTGCCACCTATGCCAGCCAAAGCAGGAAGTGCTGAGTAAGGAAGACCTCATCAGAGTTGCTGCCTGGCCCAGGCAAGTGCTTCTAGGGCAGGGGCGGACAATTATTTCAGGCGGAGGGCTGCTTACTGAGTTTTGACAAGCCATCGAGGGCTGCATGAGAGGCAGCCAGGGACAGATAAATATTGTTTTTCTACATTTTTAGGGGCCCCGCAGGCCAGATAGAATGGCCTGGCAGGCCTCATCCAGCCCGCGGGCTGCATTTTGCCCACCCTGTTCTAGGGATTACTACTCTGGTTGCTGTCTCCAGGAGATACTCCCACTCCATTGTTACCACCAAGGAGATGGCTTTTATTGCCAGGAATCACCACTTCTTTGCTGGTGCTCTTTGGGTCACCTATGCAACCTCAGCTTTTTCACACCCTGCTGTACTGCTACAGAAGGCTCAGGGATTTTCAGCTCTTACAGCTATAAGGAGTATAAGGTTTTTGCTTGAACCTACTATAAGGACTTGTGTTCAGAAGCCCTTTCCCTTAAAGACTTGATGAACCACAACATCAACCAGGGAGTAACACCTATCTGGAATCTCATTCACTTTTCACACACAAATATACACACTCATTACTCAAACTGAGGACCGCCCACTGCAGAGCATTCCAGAGGTCCCAGTGGGTGCTGTCCCTTTAATGGCCTTTGTGTAACTTTGCATTAGCAACATTTGGGTGCCTACAAACTTCACAGTTGTGGAAGAGAGGGGCTGTGGACACAAAATCTGATCCACCTGCCCTTGACAATTGGCCCACCAACAGGTGCAAATAGCCATCAGAAGTCCACACATGCATACTAATGAGGGTATGCAGTTAAAGAATACACAAACTTACTGTTATAGAACATAGCCATAGCCAAACATGCAGAACATAAGCTAGGTTATACATGGAACAAGACCATCCAACGCAGGGGGTTGGAGCGGAACAGCTAGTATGCTTTAAAATTAAACCTGAGTTTATTATTTGTAAGAAGGTGGGGCAGGGCAGCACTTTAGAGACTGTGTCAGAGGCATGAGCTTTCATAGACGACAGCCTACTTAATCTGTATCTGATGTAGGAGGGTGTTGCCTATTAAGGCTTGTGCCACTCAGAACAAGTTTGTTTCTAAGGTGTTGCCCTCCCCTGGCTTCTGCCTATCTCCAGACGAATACAACTCTCTCTTATTTCATGCTGCCTTTCCCCCATAGGCAAGCTGTAGGAGTCAGTGCAATGATTTATACAAACTGTTGAAGGAGAGAGGGGAATGTTGATGCCTGATCTAATTTGTTCGTGCAGAAGGTTGGAGACAATAACAGTTAGGAGCAGAACTGCAAACCTGATCCATACAACCCTAGTGACTGCACAGTTGCCACTTTTTTTTGCTATTTCTTAGTTTCATTCCAATTTTCTTAATTAGGGGTTGGCAACATTTAACCTGCAGGCCAGATCCAGCCTGCAAGGAGACTGGATCTGGCCTGCAGTGGTATGTGGTAGCAGGAGCACCTTTTTCACTCTGTCATGAATTTCGTTGCTA